GCAGAAACTCCGTTGGGTTGGAAAAACATCACAATTCAACTCCATGACCAAGAGTTTATCTTACCTGCTGCCATTTTATCTTCTCAAGCTCTTGCTTACGCTGTTGTTTTGGGGTTGGATTTCATTTTCTTTAGCGGATTGCAGTTGAATGTCACGGACCAGAAATATTCATTTAAGTGTAACGCTGCAAAGGAGTATCTTTTTCAGCCAGGTAGGGCAACTCTACCAATGGAAAGTGTACACCCAGAAAACCGGCTACAGGAGAAAACAATACAAAACTTGTCCTTATTGAGTGCTATTCCTCCTCTACCTCATCCAATACCCATGATCCCTCCTGACGGCATGAACGAACAAATGTTGATCTGCAGTGTAGTGGATGAAGCTTGTTTACCTCAAGAGAGTAAGCAGGAGTTGCTCCATATCCTGGAGAGCAATCCTCAGGTGTGCACTCTCAGGACTGGACGTACTGATGTTCTACAACACCGCATATACACTTCCTGCCAAGTACCCATTAAGCAAAGGCCCTACCGATTATCCCCACTCAAACAACGGGCTTTGGAAGAACAGCTGGAAGAAATGCTGAGACAAGGAATTGTTGAGCCATCCCACTCTGGGTGGTCATCACCGGTAGTGCTTGTACCCAAAAAAGATGGTAAGCTGCGTTTTTGTGTGGATTACAGAAAGGTAAACTCTGTGACAGAGAGTGATGCTTATCCTATTCCAAACATCACTGAAATCCTTGAGTCTTTGTCTGGAGCAGCAATATTCTCCAGTATTGACCTTAACACTGGCTATTGGCAAGTTAGCATGGATCCTGATAGTAAAGCTAAGACTGCCTTTATCACTTCTGCTGGTCTGTATCAGTTTAATGTCATGCCTTTTGGTCTAAAAAATGCTCCCGCTACTTTCCAGAGGCTTATGGAGATGGTCCTGGGGGATCTACGAAAAAAGATTTGTTTAGTCTATATTGATGACATTATAATTTACTCCCCTTCAATCACCCAACATTTCCATGATCTTCAAATGGTTCTTCACAGATTGGAGGCTGCCGGCCTCACTATAAACCTGAAAAAGAGCAAATTCTGCTTGCAAGAACTTGTGTTCCTGGGACATGTTGTGAGTGTTAGAGGCATTGCAGCAGACCCATGTAAGACAGAGGCCATTCATTCGTATCCTGTACCAAAAAACTTAAAGGAGGTGCAGAGGTTCCTTGGTCTAGCTGGATGGTACCATCGATTTGTTCCAAATTTTTCCAGGATAGCTGAACCCCTAAATTCCCTGAAAAAGAAAGGAAGACTATTTCAGTGGACAAAACACTGCCAACAAGCCTTTGATGAGCTAAAAACTTGTCTTACTTCCCCACCGATACTGGGCCATCCTGATCTACAGTTTCCCTTTACAGTTTACACGGATGCCAGTGACTCTGGGTTGGGTGCCATCCTGGCACAGCGTAAGAATGCTGGCCAAGAGATAGTCATTGCCTATGCCAGCAGGGTTTTATCTGGAGCGGAGGTCAACTATACAGCTACAGAAAAGGAATGTCTGGCAGTCGTATGGGCCCTGGAAAAATGGCAATATTATTTGGAACATAAACTCTTCACAGTTGTCACCAACCACGCTGCTCTCCAATGGGTAATGGGATCCACTAAAACCAACAGCCGTCTCATTCGATGGGTCCTACGGCTACAGAAATTTGATTTCATCATCGAATACAGGAAAGGCAAACTTAATGTAGCCCCAGATGCACTCTCCAGGTTTTCTCAACCTTCTAGTTGTTACCTGTATTCCAACCATAAAGATCCAGGTTTACCAGTATCAGATGATATCTTGTGGGAAGAGCAGCACAAAGATACAGACATTGTGGAGATACTGAAAGCAGCTGCAGAATCGAATGCAACTTCGTTTGATCAATACGAGGTTGTAGAAGACAAATTGTACCAGAAAACTCACCTGCCAAATAATCAGCTGCACTACAGAATATATGTACCGAAGAGCCTCCGCCCATCTCTATTACAGTATTATCATTCTGCTCCAGTAAGTGGACATGGAGGCATCTTTAAAACATACAAGAGACTACAGGAAGTAGCTTTTTGGCCTGGCATGTGGTCTGATGTTAAGCGGCATGTAAAAAGTTGTACAAAATGCCAAACTGTAAAACAGGATAATCAGAAACCAGCCGGGATGTTACAACAGATTACCACCACTCGCACAAACCAGATGCTTGGAGTTGACATCATGGGTCCTCTGCCAAGAAGTTCCCAACAAAACGAATACCTGCTTGTTTTCGTGGATTATTTCTCACGGTGGGTTGAGTTATTCCCCATTCGTCAGGCTACTGCTCAGTGTGTTGCCACAATTTTCAGAAAAGAAATCCTGACTAGATGGGGAGTACCAGATCACATTCTCTCTGACCGTGGGGTTCAGTTTATCTCATCCGTGTTCAAGGAATTGTGTGAGAAATGGAATATCACCCCCCGACACACCACTGCATATCATCCACAAACTAACCTCACAGAAAGAATAAATCGGACACTCAAGAACATGATGGCTGCATATGTTGAAGAAAACCACAAAAAGTGGGACCAGTTCTTACCGGAGTTTCGATTTGCATTGAATTCAGCTGTTCATGAAACTACTGGTCTATCTCCTGCAGAACTTCAACTTGGCAGAAAACTCCAAGGACCAATGGATAAGATGCTGTCTGGCACTAACCTGCTTCCTGATGCTGACTCATATGGTGTAGTCCAACACATTCATCAACTGCAAACTCAAGCACAAGAACACAGTAAAAAACCAAAAATGAGACAAATGAGGAATTACAATAAAAACAGAAGAGAAGTAATCTTCAAGAACAAAGATCGGGTATGGTTGCGAAACTTTCCACAGTCAAGTGCAAAACATAATTTTAGTGCAAAATTGGCCCCAAAATGGAAAGGACCATACCGTGTCTTAAAGCAGCTGGGTCCTCTAAATTATAAAATTTCTTTGGAAGATAGTGGAGAGGATGTTAGGACTGCACATGTGTGTAATTTGAAATTGTGTTTTCCAACTGCGGAAGAATTAGAGATGCAAGAAAAACAGAAAATGGTGGAGATGTTTCAGGAGGTCTCTGATGAAGAAGACTTCCTAGGATTTTAGTCTGTGTATTTTTCAACAACCATGGGTTGTTTTTTTTCCAGGGGGGGAGAGTGTGGCAATTAGGATGTAAATCCATACCACCTGGAGAAAAAATGATTACAGGTTAAAAAGAAAAGAGCGGAAGAGGAAGTGATAAGAACGGTATGAGGAGAGCACTAAAAACAGTGGTCGAATGAGTTGGCTCTGGAAGTGTCGAGAAGTGTAAGCGCCAAAAAGTGCCTAAAAAAGCGAAGTTGAAAAGTCTACCGGTGGTGATCGGATCCAGTGAAGAGTGCAGTTAAGGCGTTTTGGGGAGACGTTTTGGCTGAGATGGTGGATTTGGCCGTCGCCGTCGCCCGAGATCATGTGCGGTGTCCACAACAAAGGGAGCTGAGTGACGTCGCTCTACATAGACGCGGGCTGTAGGTGATTTTTCCTCTAGTTCAGCGGTTTCAGGTACTTTACACTTCCACAACAAACAAAGAAAACAAAACGTTAGCATACCGGCATCGTTGATGGGTTGACTGCTAAGGCGATGGGGTACAGCTGTTGACATTATCCATGCCACTCGCTTTGAATGAACTGTTAGTGCGCACATACATTCCTTGTATAGAGGCCGCTGGACACACAGACACACCCACACATACACCCACACATACACAAACACACACACACACTTCACACGCACCCACATACATTGAACGAACTGTTTAACATTCAGATTCCAGTTGATGCTTCCAGTAACGTTATGTTGGTTAATTGAGAAAACACTGGACTCTGATGCGACTGAACTGTGTTTCCGTGGGTTGATTTTGTATGTGGTTTACCTTTGAATGGCCAGAGAGCCAATGATTGTGAGGGGTGTAATGTCCATGGGGTTTGTTCTTGTATATGGATGAAATGCTCAGTGCTGTCTTTCACTTAGTAAATACTGATTATGGTTGTGATTGCAGTGGATAAATTCTTCTGTGAGTGTGGTATAAATTCATCATGATGTTTTCATAAAGCTGTTTATTTTCAATTGTGATTTTGAGCGATCTATTGGTAGTGATATTTCAGTGATAGAAAAATAAATATTTCTATGCATACTCAATTGGTGAATTTGTGTAAAATTTTTGTGTATTTTTGTGTGTTATGTTTAGTATAGTTTGTAGTCGGTGGCTTATTGCTATCTGGGTTAAAGTTAAATTTGTAATATATTGACGGATTTATTCTGTCTGGCACCCGAACAAAAAGTTAAAAATTACCTACTTGGGGGTTTAAGAAAGGGCCACCGTTACAGCCAGTACATTTTTCTGAAATTTTACAGACATAATTCTATAAATATACAATTTTTTTTTAAAAAATATATATTGTTTTTAAACTACTACATGTCAACAAAAGTCATTCTGTTAAACTGCGCAGCTGAATTTATATCATCAAAAGTTGATAAACTTTTTTGGGACATGAAGGTCCCAAAATAAAATTCATAATTGTAAATAAATATAAAACACCCGTACAAACAAAAATACACAACCTTTTTTTTTTTTTGCATTTTACAGTATACACAGACACACGCATACACACACACTGCAAACTGCACTGGCATCCTTACAGTTTTATTAGGGTAGCAAAACGCTGCCCTCTGTAGGAGAGCAAATGCATTGTTTTAATCACAAAATTGCGTTCATCTCTCTCGAGATCACAATTTCATTATTTATGTGTATGCCAATGTATCAGTGTGTAGATATAAGCCAATAAAGAACAGGTCTGCTTTAAATTAGTCAAATATCCATGATCCATGAAGTGCTTGAGTTTCTCATATCACTGTAGGACAGGATATCTTTACATAATCAGGATCACTTCAGATCCCCATTTACACAGTCAAATGCACATTCACTCACTCTTTGCATATCCATCTCCTGGATAGATGTGGCGATTATAGACATCCATTATGTAAACGCGTCTGTCTTCCAGGAAATCCCGCTCGTGGCCGTTTCCCTGCAATATGCAGCAAACAGGAGATAAAAGTTAACATTACAGGAATTACTGTACTAATAACTATAACTGATAAGAGTATTAATGATATACGACTAAAACTGCTGGTGTTTTCAAAAGCTACACTACGATATAGAAGCTACTCTAGTGGATAGCGATTAGCTTATCTCTAAAATATTATGGATTTTATACATTTTCGGCAATTCAGACAAACGTTAAACCGGGGGTGAAATTACTATATCAAACATTTCAGAACATTTAATGAATTATGTGAATGTATAAAATGTAGAAATAAACAAAAATATTCAAAATAACTGCTTGCTCATTGCCACAACAGGTATATGCTATGTCATACACTCACCAGACACTTTATTAGGTACACCTTACTTGTACCAGGTTGGACCCCCTTTTGCCTTCAGAACCGCCTAAGTTCTTTTTGGCATAGATTCAACATGGTACTGGAAATATTCCTGAGATTTTGGTTCATATTGACATGAGAGCATCACGCAGTTGCTGCAGATTTTTCGGCTGCACATTCATAATGCGAATCTCCCGTTCCACCATATCCCAAAGGTACTCTACTGGATTGAGTTCTGGTGACTGTAAAGGATCTTTGAGTACAGTGAAGTCATTTTCATGTTTAAGTAACCAGTCTGAAATGATTCACGCTTTATAACATGGCACAATGTCCTGCTGGAAATAGCCATTAAAAGATGGGTACACTGTAGTCATAAAGGGGATGGACATGGTCAGCTACAATACTCGGGTAGGCTGTGGCATTGACAAGATGCTCATTTGGTACTACTGGGCCCAAAGTGTGCCAAGAAAATATTCCCCACACCATTACACCAACACCTCCAGCCTGAACCATTAATACAAGGCAGGATGGATCCATGCTTTCATGCTGATGCTAAATTCTGACCCTACCATCTAAATGTAGCAGCAGAAATTGAGACTCATCAGACCGGGTAACATTTTTCCAATCTTCTGTTGTTTACCAATTTTGGTGAGCTTGTGTAAATTGCAGCCTCAGTTTCCTGTTTTTAGCTCACAGGAGTGGCACCCGGTGTGGTCTTCTGCTGCTGTAGCCCATCCGCCTCAAGGTTTGATGTGTTGTGCATTCAAAGATGCTCTTCTGCATACCTCGGTTGTAATGAGTGGTCAGTTGAGTTACTATTGCCTTTCTATCAGTTCGAACCAGCATTCTCCTCTGACCTCTGGCATCAACAAGGCATTTTCGCCTACAAAATTGCCACTCACTGGATATTTTTTCTTTTTTAGACCATTCTGTGTAAACCTTAGAGATGGTTGTGCGTGTAAATCCCAGTTTATCAGTAGTTTCTGAAAAACTCAGACCAGCCCATAGGCACCAACAACCATGCCACATTCCAAGTCACTTAAATCACCTTTCTTTCCCATTCTGATGCTCGGTTTGAACTGCAGCAGATCATCTTGACCTGCCATGTGATTGACGTTAACGAGCATTGGACAGCTGTACCTAATTAAGTGGCCAGTGAGTGTATTATATTGATTATTATATTTTATTATATTATACTTATATTATAAGACAGTACAATTTGAAACTACTAGAACTAAAAATTATAATAAGCAAAAAAAGAGACAGAAATTTTTTTTACAAATTTATTATTAACATTAAATATGAATAAAATAGCTATTAAACAACATAAGTAGCAGTTAAAGTAGAGGTATAAATAAATAAATGTAAAAAAAACATTTAAGGCAAAGTAATAATGTAGACGTAAAAAGTTAAGTTTTATGTATTTTTACCATAACTGACAAAAACAAAACAATAAACCTGACGATAAAAATATTTTTGCAGTGTATCATTACTCTGCCAAAAATATCTCCAACACCACCAGTGCCAAAAAAATACAAATCATAAAAATGTGCATTTTATGCCTACTTCATTTCCCAAACTCGTTCTCTTTGTGTCTTCTCCCTAAAACCTTAAAGCCGTCAACAATAATTATTAAAATGCAGTCTATAATGCCTGCCAAAATGTGAGTGCAACTGCTCTTCCTTCAAAAACAGAGCATCATACTGACAGAGAGAGAAGCAGAGCTGAGTTTTCCTCTTTGTCAGAGATGCTAAATGTTGATCTTCTTGTTGTGACGACGTAACATTTCCATCGCTCTTCATTCTGTCCTCCTCATCCGTCACGTACAGCGTCTGGCTATTGTCACTTTTAATTTAAAACTGCTGCAAGGCCCAACAACTCATGTGTACGACAACAACCTCTTATTCCAAAACAGCCCTGTCCTTTAGCCAATTACCAGACTATGAAGTGTGCGTTTGGGACACGTTCACTTTCTCCTGTCTGCACCATCTGCGCACTCAAGCAAAACCTTGCTGAGGGCGAAGAGAAATCTGTGTAGCAATTTTGAGCCGGTGCTCTGAAATCTAACAGGCAGCTTGCATTAATAATGTATAGGGGAGTGATTACTGAAGACTGAGCAGGCCTGTAGTTGCAATGATGTTGTCTGGTAGAGGTGAACTGATATTGTATGCTAATATTTTCTAATGGCGTTAATATGTGGAGAGGATGGAAGATTTAATTATATTTCTTCTATGTCCACATTCTATAAGAATACATTTAAATCAAATTTTGAAATGTTGCTTAAGTCAAAATTATTAGCCTATAACCTATAATGTTTTTATTTACGGTCAATATATATTTATGTATGTGTGTGTGTGTGTGTGTGTGTGTGTGTGTGTGTGTGTGTGTATACAGGACAACCACTGTTATTCAATTTGCCCAATTAAACTAACTTGCCTAATTAACATAGTTAATTATTTAAATTGCACTTTAAGCTGAATACTTGTATCTTGAAAAATATCTAGTATTGTATGTATATGTACAATCACCAGCCACTTTATTAGGTACATCTGCCCAAATGCTTGTTAATGTAAAAATTTCTAATCAGCCAATTATATGGCAACAACTCAATGCATTTAGGCATGTAGACTTGGTCAAGATGATTTGTTGCAGTTCAAACCGAGCATCAGAATGGAAAAGAAAGATGATTTAAGTGACTTTGAACGTGGCATTGTTGTTGGTGCTAAACAGGCTGATCTGAGTATTTCAGAAACTGCTGATAAACTGGAGTTTTCTCATACAACCAACTCTAGGGTTTACAGAGAATGGTCAGAAAAAGAGAAAATATACAATGAGCAGTTGTTCTGTAGCCGCAAATACCTTGTTGATGCAAGAGGTCAGAGGAGAATGGCAAGACTGGTTTGAGCTATTAGAAAGGCAACAGTAACTCAAATAACCACTAATTACAACCGAGGTATGCAGAAGAGCATCTCTGAATGCACTACACGTAAAACCTTGAGGCGGATGGGCTACAGCAGCAGAAGACCACACTGGGTGCCACTCCTGACAGCTAAAAACAGAAAACTAGGGCTACAATTCACACAAGCTCACCAAAACTGGGCAATGGAAGATTGTAAAAAGTGTTGCCTGGTATGATGAGTCTCAATTTCTGCTGCAACATTCAGATGGGAGGGTCAGAATTTGGCATCAACAACATGAAAGCATGAATCCATCCTGTCTTGTATTAATGATTCAGGCTGGTGGTGGTGGTGGTGTAATGGTGTGGGGAATATTTTCTTGGGGACACTTTGGGCCCATTAGTACCAATTGAGCGTAGCGTCAACGCCACAACCTACCTCAGTATTGTTGCTGACCATGTCCATCCCTTTATGACAACAGTGTACTCATCTCCTAATGGCTACTTCCAGCAGAATAACGAACCATGTCATAAAGCATTTCAGACTGGTTTCTTGAACATGACAATGAGTTCACTGTACTCAAAAAAACCTCCACAGTCACCAGAACTCAATTCTATAGAGCACCTTTGGAATATGGTGGAATGGGAGATAAGCATCATGGATGTGCACCTGACAAATCTGCAGCAACTGTGTGATGCTCTCATGTCAATATGGACCAAATTCTCTGAGGAATATTTCCAGTACCTTGTTAAATCTATGCTACGAAGGATTAAAGCAGTTCTGAGGGCAAAAGGGGGTCCAATTCGGTACTAGTAAGGTGGACCTAATAAGGTGGCCGTTGAGTGTGTGTGTGTGTGTGTATAAGTGTGTATATGTATGTATGTGTGTGTATATATAAATAAATATATATATATATATATATATATATATACCCTGTATGAGAGAGAGAGAGAGAGAGAGAGAGAGAGAGAGAGAATTTACTTATATATTCATCCATACATTTTAGAGCAAAATTGTCCCCTAACATTAGTAAAGTACATCCACATCACTAGATGTCAGTATACTGTAAGTCCAAACCCCTTGCTTTATCTGCCTGTCTTAAGTCATTGTTGAGTATGTAACAATCCAAATATGCTAACAACCACTTTTAGTATTTTGACCCTTAATGTCATCAAACAGAGGACTAACAATTTACTGTCTCAATGTTCAGACGATCCCGGTTAACACTGCACACTTATGAATTCAAATATGCAACTGATGTCGCCTCCAGAGAACATCGTCTGCCATTACTTGTCATAATTTTAAGCCTTTAATTGGAGCTTTAACGCCAACTTCTCCCCTCTCTGTATTTTCACAGCCTTTAAACCCAGCTGAGACAGCGCTTTCAGGCCCATTTATATGCCAACATGAAGATTCCCACCTTTGTTCTGCTTGTGGCCCTCCATGAATTATTCACCCTGCAATGTTATTGATCCGAACTTGTTGGCTTTGTCGATGAGCAAAAGACCATAATTACAATCAAGTCACCCATAAAAATGCTTATGGCCGATTTATATGCTACTATAGCAGCAAAATTATCAAGAACAACCGCTCCTGGGTCTATGAGGACTGTATTAACAGGCCAGGCTAATTAGCAAAGGAGGTGACTCATTAGGAAGGAAAGTGCAATAAACTGCAAATTTGAAAGAAACTCTAATTAAGGAAGGAAGACAAGCGGCTGACGGATATAGGTAGCCGATATAATGACT